AACAGTTGTGCTGCTTAATATTTTTGTGGAAACCCTGATACATTTCAGGATTCTTTGAATAGAAAGTTTAAAAGCATTTGTTTGAAATAGAAATAGGTTCCATTTAATGCATCCCTACTGAATGAAATTAACTTCTTTAAAGACAAAAACAAATAATGATTCGTTATTTCGATTCAGTAGATGCAAAATGTTTAGGGCAAATAAAGATTTACTTAAAATAGTATTTTCCACATAATTATTCCTAGCATGAACACACAAAAGCATGTTTAATAATGTATTTGAAGGATATTTAATAATAGATTTGTGAAATAAATCAAACTCCAGCAACATTTGCTACAGAGGTTTAAATAAGAGTTGCTGTTAAATATTTTTGTCTTAGTGCCATCATACTTGCAAGTCATGACAACAAGTGGGCAGAAAACTGGCCCACTGGCAAGATCTTCAAAATATTGGTTAAATTTACAGTATAAATATTTAAACTCTTTGATGTTTCTCCAGTGCTATAGACCCTGGGTTCAATCCACTTGAGCTTGAGTGTCCCGAGCCCAGGGTCTTAAACACTCAGCACCCACCTTTCAGTTCAGAGGGCTGAATATGTCATTACCTCTGTCGTTTACGGGGCATGTTGTTGTTCTTGATGAGCAGTGCTTTGATGTGTTCTCCCAGCAGGTCGTCATGTTTCGCCGCCCAGTGCCGCAGGATGCTGGTGGTGAACTGGTCCTCTTGGTTGTAAGGTCGGCTCAGCACCATCTTCACCATCTCCTCACTCGGCCTTCAGCACAACACAACAGAAAAAAAAGAAAAAGATGACTGTGTCCCACAAAAGACAAGATAAATAACCATTTGAGTGAAAAGACTTACTTTTCTCTTCGTAACTGCAGCAGCAGGCAGGACAGAGCTTCAGGATGTTCTGTGAGTAAAGGGAGAAAAGGATTATAGGTGGAGTGAGTATGTGTAGAGTGACAGCGTGTCTATGGAGAGAGACACTCACCCTTGTATTTGAGGTGCTGTAAAATGGGGATGATGGTCTCCAGAGGGATACTGTGCGCCAGGAAAAGCTGCCAAGTGCTGTACTGCTCAAACGTCTCCCAGTCCAGAGACTGAACTAAAACACACAGATGCACAGAACAAAATGAGCTTTACAAAGCAATGGAAGAATGTCTGGAACATTCACACAGATAAAAGCACTAGATTTCTAGAAATCTGTTTGATGCCACATTTGTCAGGGTGAAAAACGAATTTTTCCATTAAGAATCAATATTTTTTATAATTAATTGCGTTTAAATGTGTTCAGTGATCATATTCTAGCTACACAGACAAAACAAGCTAAACATTTATGTATTACTTTATTGCATTTTTTTATGCGTTAGAAAATCAAGACCTCACATTAGTTATTTTAGTAGCATAATAAATGGTTATTCACACTGGCAACAAATTATATACATAAAGTGAGCAAAGAACACTGAAGTGGTCCATGACTTAAGTCTAGCGCAAGTTATGCACTTCATTTTTTATTCATATCCACATTTCACTTTAATCGTGACACCCGTAACAGATTTAATTACACTAGGGCATTTTTTGCACCCTTATCTTGAGTTTGGGGGGCATTTTTGCCTCAAGCCCCCATTGATTTTTCAAACTTGGTGCTTGGTTTGTTTGGTTTAACTATACAATTTAAACAGAGATTTGTGGGGTCAGACAGACAACCATCAGAGCTTGAAAACCGCCGTAAACTTACTGAGGATGTTGAGTACTGAGTCTTTACGGAACATCACCAGATTACCCATCATCACGTGACACATCAGCTCCTGAAGCTGTGAGGTGAAAACAAGAGAAAGAGGTTAAAAAAAAA